GCACTACGTGAATATGTGTGTCTTGTTCTATTCTTGGGAGTGGGGCTTTTCTTCTCGGGAGGTCTCTTGGAGACCAATTCAAACTTGCTGTCCGAGCAGAAAACATGGGTGATCTTATTGTTGCTGATTCCACAGAACAAAAATTTTCCCCAACTTTGCCTACTGTTGTTTGATCTCATCTTAAGTAATTCTGCATAAGTCTTGTATTAATGAAAGTGGAAAGTACTGTAACAATTTTGTGGCATGAAGTTTTCCAGTCTCTACAAAGACTGCAGTGTCTTGATTCTTTGGTCTGCCTTAAACTCTGTGTGTATGTGGACTGCAGAAATACAGACTCTTGGCAGTTAGTAGCGGTAGGACCTAGTTGTAATTTACTGTTGCATGAGTAGCTTTCCAAAACTCTTAATTTAGGAACAGTCAGTAAAATCCCCATGTAATAGGTACTGCTACCTGTTTCCAACCAATACAGTCACACACACCTATGGAAATACAACCATTGTAAGTGACACTGCATGGTATAACCGCATCTATAGCATTACATTGTACTAATCCACTTGTTTTTTTTTAATGGAGAATTAAATTGGAGGGAAGTATGTGTGGTCCAGACCCATGTAAGCAACTTTAAAAAAAAAAAAAAAACCAAACCCCGCGCTCTGTTACCTGACAACTGCTCTTGTGCTATCCAGAAAGGTCCCTGTTACAGCAAATTTTTTTTTTGGCAACCTTTTTCTCTACAGAGAAAGGAGGTTTAATTTAAAGAGTTTAGGACCAGTGTTTTTATTTGGGTTTGTTACTTTTAGTAAGAAATTGAGAAGCTTTGTTTTTCTCAGCAAAGAGTTGATTTAATTTTTTGAGGTTGCTCCATCCTGTCCTGAGCTGCTAAAACAAATATTGTAGAGGATGGAGAAGGAATGTTTTTACAGGTAAAGATAATGTGGAAAGTTAGAAAAGCAGGTAAGCAGATCTTTCTTGTGGACACAAGTTTTTTTTAATTGCACTTGGTATAGCAGCAGACCTTAAGAAATTTCACAGTAACTCTGGAGTCTTGTGATGTCTAAAAGAAAAATGCCATTTATTTCTGTGAGGTAATAATTCTGATCCCAAGCAGCACCCTCTGTAAGTGCTTTGTCTGGTCAAATCCAGACTGGTTCCTCTTAGTGGAACATAGGATGACATGGTGACATGCTGTGACTATGTTACTAGGGAAATTATGATGGATTACCTCCAGCAGTACCCAAAACCCATCCCCTTCACACTGTGTTCCTAGGATTTAGCATTATGTGATACAAAAGCCATTTAATATTGATCATCTGTTTAGTAGTGTATACTGATTAACGTGAGAGTATCAAACCTGCTATTTAGTTTTGAGAATAACTTTCCTTTTTCCAAGTCAAGGTGACACACCACTGACAGATGACCTTGTCTGTGTTAGAGGCATGCTCCAAAGTTATTGGAATGCTTTGTCCACTCATATTTGCCTTCAAAAGTTGGTGGTATCAACGACCCCAAGTACATCAGAATGATAGGAAGTCTAGAAAATCCAGCCTTTGCAGTAGACATTAATTTTCTTTTTTTTGTCATGTGTAGCTTGGTGCCTCAGAGAGAAAATAACCTCAATATAACACATGAAGAGGCTGCTATGGACACATGCCTGGCAGGGGCTGCTTTAGCTCACTAGGTATTTAAAAATGAAATGCACATATTCTTTATTTTGTATTAATACACTGTAATTGCTTTACAGAGTCCAGCATATCAGTTGCATGTAAATACTACAGAAGAACTTGCCAACTGGAGCTCACAAAAACTAGTGCATTTATCCCAAAGCAGAGACTAAACCCTCTAACTTCTTAAAAAAATACATTAAAGAACGTACCACACACACACACGTATTGCACTTTTCTCCATATGAAATTTTTACCCCATATACATCACACCAAAGTCTCTTCAAAGGCATCTGTAATACAAGATAATAAAGCTAATAAGTACTCCAACAGTAGTGTACACAGTTCTCTAATGTTACACATAACAGCTTTGACCAAAAAAGCCACTTCCAAGTAGTACAAAGTGGTGCCCAATGGATACTCTGCTGTATTAGAAGGCATTAGAAGCCTTTTATTCTAATTGGCTTAAAGAAAATTACATGAAATGTTTAATATGCTTTTGGTTGAGGGGAAGAGTCAGTCTACATTAAAAAACACTGTAGCTTCCCCCTTACTTGAGCACTGCAAAGCTCAAATGAGCTTAGAGTAGTTGGCACATCCTGATAAATGAACCACAGAACTCAGGAACAGAATTATCTTTGAGTCCTGAAATGTACAGTATCCTGAAGTTGGATGGGGAAGGAAGTAGTTGCAGGTATGGCAGTAACCCAGCTCCTGGAGCAGAACTGGGCCTGTCTCCGTAGGTGTTTTGTGTCACACTAGCAGTTTTCACTGCATAGTTCCTCGAGAGCTTGGTCATATATTAAAATTCCAGAAAGTGTTTATTATGCTGTGGGGTAGGGAAGAAAGAATGAAAGGACAGGGGTCTTTGTTGCCTGCCTCTTCTCTCTCTCTTTTTTTTTTTTTTTCCCCCAGAAGTTAAATGCCTGGTCTGTTATGCTGCAGTATTTGTCAAGCTGCTTCCCTTCCCTTTGTTAGTCACTTAAGGTGTCATAGGGGTTTCTGTGTTCCATAGCTGTTTACAGTGTCAGACAAGTTCCCTTTTGGAGGGAAACCACACAACAAAAAACTTTTCTATCTATCATCTCGGCTATTTAAAGTAGAGCTTTCTAGCCCTCTCTTTATCTTGCATCACTTAAGTAGTGTATGGATGTAATCCCTGTTCTTTAAACTCTCATTTGCTAAATGCCTTGAGAATCACTGTGATGTCGGAGGTAGAAGCTGAGCAGTTACGGATTGAGTCCAGCTGCACAACTGGACCAGTACTGAAGCAGGCCACATAGCAACAGGATTTGCCTCTCTAATTGTAGTATACAGGAAGCAAGGTGCCTTCTGTCAGTTGTTAAACCCTTCCCTCCTTCACACAGCCTACAATGCAGTGACTGAAGTCCTACTATTCCACATCTAAATGTGGTCTTATTGCTGTAAATGCAGGCTGATTATCCACCTTTTTAGTGAAGGAAAAGGGAACAGCTTTGAGAACTCCTTTTTCTAGCTTGGTAGAATTTGAGATCTGACAAATACAGAACCAGCATACCAGAAGTATGTACTTTGTTCTTTCTGCTACCGGTTCAACCCATACCATTTTTAAGTGACCACATGCCCTGAATACCCAAACTTTGAGTTTGGTGACTACACCCTCATTATTAGTAGTATCAAAGACGTTAGCTCAGCAAACAGTGGTGTTTGTAGAACACACAAATATGTGATCAGGACTGCTTCTTGGCCACTCTTTGTGCTTTAATGAATCTGCAATTGTGCTTAGTGTTTGCTCAGAGAAGGGATGAACTGTCTAGCTGTGAGCCTCGTTTGTCTATCATCCTGTAATGTCCCACAATACTTACAGGCTAGAGACAAAACCCAAACGAGATGTCTGAACTTTCTGCAGATTCCTAAACAATCCTCCTATGACTTGGACTTGGTGCCTGAAGGTCCTGGAGACACAACTGCTTGGCTGAGTTTAGTATTTCTTGAAATGGTTGATACATCAACAGTTCGTGATGCTAAATATTGCTGTAATACTTTCAATGTTACATATACATGAGCAATCAAAACACTAAGAAAGTTAAACATTATGTTCCACATGGTGGAACATGTGCTCTGAAGGGACTTTGGCTATAGCAGGGATATAAATGGGGTATTGTCTACTTTCTTCAGAAAAAAGCATATAGGCTGATAACTGAAAAAGGCACAGCACTATCACTTCACAGGGGTGTTTTTTTTAAGCTCATTGTTTTTATCCTTAAGTTCTAAAACCCTAAATAATTGTCCAAATATACAAAGCTCAATAAACCACCAGCAACAAATACTGTAAATTCAAAACACAGTTTGTTTGCTTGTTTTTAAAAATGCAACAGAAGGACAGCTGGATCCTTTCCAGTGATCGGAACTTCTCCAAGACAGAGACCTCCACAAAAGCCTGCCTGCAAAAAGGATTGATTTCAAAAGCCACCCGGGTGGATTTTGGTATGTGTGTGGGTTTTTTTGTTTTGTCTTTTTTAAAGCCATTGGCTGCAGCTCTTGATTTTTCTCATGGTACTTCTTCCCTTCTATCTCTGTTAGCTAATCCTTTAGTATTCTGACCCCCACCCCAGAGGTCTCTGCAAACCACTGTGGTGCCCTGTGTCAGTTCCAGGTATCTTTTGACAAAGATGTCACTTAGCAGAGATCCAGAAGCTTCCCTTAGTGGACAATTAAGAGTTCCTTGGCAGGCTTGGGCAATGCTGTTTACTTGCTAGCAGGAGGAAGTGGAGGCTGCCTGAGATGCCTGGTGATCTCGGAGACTTACCATGGAGTAGTTCCAGATCAGGAGCTTAACCAGCAACTGGATGCCAAAGTGCAACTTTCCTTTAATTCCACCTTACGCTACTGTTTGAGTATTACAGTTGCCATCAGTGCAGACCCAAATCTACCCTGAATTTCAATGAAAACTATTGCTTTTATTGCCAAGAAGTACAATACTACTATGTGCACTCATTCTCATTTCTCCAAGTGAATGTTAGATGAATGCTGACAAACTCACCATTTTTTTTAGAAGGGGCTACCTCCTTCCTCTAAACTTCACTTTTTTTATTTTTTGCCACCTCCTATGGAAACTAGTTCTTCATGGGATGAAACTGCACTATGTGTTCTCTAGCCCCTGCCACTAGGCAAGAGGAGCTAGTGGCCAAACACTTCTTGCCACCTCCTGCTTTTTTTCCAATCAGGTGGATTTTTAGTTCCCCTGTAATTCAAGGGTTGAAAAATTACCATGAACTTTGGGATAGGAACAAAAACCAAAAATTCACATGTTTGTCCATTTGCTCTGTCTTCCACTCTCATGTTAGTCACCCCAGGGTATTAATTCACCAGGACATAGCCACTGTGCTGTGGATCTACAGTCTCCATCATTTCACAATCAAAGAGTCCAGGCAATTCTGAGAGGGTTAATGCATCATAGTTTGACTGGGACTCATGAGATGCTGAGCTGCTCTGGCTGTCAGGCGATGCTACACTGCTCTGTTGTGCTGGGTCCATGGAATACTGGCACTGGTCTCGGTAGTCTGTCTCAGAAGAGGTGACAACAGGCAATTCACAAGTCTGATAGGAATAGTGTAAGGACTGTGGTGGTTGTTGCACCTGAACTGGTGATGACAACTGTGGTGAGCTGGTGATCTGAGAGGGTGGCAGTGGATCCAGCTGTACCTTCTGGTATTGACTGAGGAAGGGGTCATATTGCATTTGTTCTGAGGAAGGCTCCATTACAGGGCTCAGAGGCTGTTGCAAGCTGAACTGAGTTGATTGCTGCTGCTGCTGTTGTTCTTCCTCCTGGCATGAAAGTGGCAGTTGACTTGATCTGGGGTATGAGCTCTCAGCTATTTGCATCTGGTTAAAATAGGCCTGCAGCTGGGACTGCTTCTGGAGAAAGAGTCGCTTCTGATGCAGCCTGAATCAAGGACATAAGCAGCAATTATTTTCACCTTTTGAAGTGTCAAGGCACTTGTACAAGTCCTGCATGCTAGTGACTCAAACAGTTCTAGTAGAGAGTGAAGTACAGAATTGGAAAATTCCCGGGAAATCTTGTTGTTAAATTTTACAGCAGACCAGAATCTTTACCTTTCATCAAATGTGTAGAGGCTGAGTCGTTTGCAGGCCTCCTTTTGATGACCTTTTTAATTGCCTAGTGAATTTTTCCTGTGCAATTCAGTGAACCCGACACATTGTTCAATTCTGTTTGCTAAGAATAAAATGCATTGCATTTGTATTTTAAGCCTGCTATTCACTGCTCTGTGGAACTTGGGAGCTGAAGACTTAAGTATTGCTGCCTACTAACGGAACTGAACAAAGTCTCCTTTCCCCCTATACTCTTTTTCTCTGAACTGCACTGCTCCCTGTGAACTTTTATGAAGCTCCATGGTTTTAACTCTTTACAAACAGTAAGAATTCACAACACAATGCAAGGTTGTAGCTACCTTTGACAAATACCTGTGATATGACAAAGTGGAGGTCTCCTGCCAGGCAATTCCCAGAGCATGCAGAAATAGGAAGCCTCCTACTGACACAAGCTGACACCATTAAGAAAATGATTCTATTGCTTCCCAGCATATTTCTCTATGCAGACCTCCTATTCTTAAAGTAGTACACCAAACTGCGCTCAATACCGTTAGTTAAGTTCTTGACAGTCCTACAGTTGTCAGGAGTGGCCGTAAGTTAAAAAGCAACTACAGATTGCATGCTTTCTTGAAATCAAGTAGTATTTTTATACCTTATATTTATATGTTCCTTGGTCTTTCTGTCTACACAGCATGCAGCTAGGTGGTTATTTTCCCTTCCCTCTCTGTGATTCTTTTACAAAAGTCAGGGGTGGTAATTGTCTTTAGTATCTATCTTGCTTGCTTGTTTGATGATTACCAAATGATGAGCTAATAAAGAGATTGCAGCCCTTTAACTGGGCAATTAAAATCTTGTCTGCTATATGTCCAGTTATAAGGGGACACTTCAAATCTATTCACTATTTACTGTAACTTTTTTCAGAGGAGTGTCACTTCTAAACTGATCTTACATGACAAGAAAAAGTTGATTTACTTTACCGTAAAATTACTGGGTTGTGGGAACGAGACAGGAAATACCTAAATGACTGCAGGGCTTCCCAGCAGGCAGAAATACACAATCCATGTTCTGACTTAGCATAAATACTGCAATACATAGGTTATAAACAGCGGGTGGTTGGGAGGATGAGGGTGAAATTAAGTACAACAATGTATGTAGTAAGGTAGCTTCCTCTGATGCTGCTATATGTGCCCATTAGCACTAAATGAAGCATGCAGGTATTTGCAGTTTGCCTGCACCCTAGTAGTGTTAGCTGATAAAGAGCTCGTAGCACAGAAATTTGTAAACATGTGGCAGGACTTGTCCCTCTTTTAAAGGGAGGACTGTGTCCTTACAAATTTTAAAGTGAACCTTTCCTTTTTCAAAGAAATTCTAAATGGACAAAGATTGTTCCAGTTCTTTTATTACTCTTGAGAGTAAGAATAAACAACTTTAAATAATTTGAAATTATAAGCATAATTTGAAAGCTTCTTACCTGTGCTCCTGTAACTGCTGTTCCAGACTCCGGGGCAATTCTTTGCAGTATAGCTGGCAAGTGTTCTGAGCTTTTGATAGTAGAGTGGGTTTCTGCAAGAAAAGCAGTGGTGTTTTAAATTGCATTTGATTTAATGCATTAGTCCAGAAAGCAAGTGAAAGAAGATTGTCTACCTTTATGACAGTGTAAATACCCAGCTCCATTTTCAGAGGCTGTCAAATAGAGCTACTGTCAAATAGAGCCACTACTCTTTATTGGCTTCTAACCCTTAGACAAAGAATATCTTTGCATGATAGACTGTACCATAAAAATCCATAGAAAGATTTCTTCCCAAGTGAAAGAGAAGCTGCAAGCTGGAAAAAAAGTTTTTTATACACTACAGCTATATGAAAATTGTTTGTTTGTTTTTTAAAAAAGGAGGGCAGGGAAGGAGTAAGCTCCAGGAAGTCAGAAGTTGTTCCTCAGATACTGATGCATAACCTTTATGGGGCTAATAGATCATAGGTATTCACTAGCAGTTACTTCAAATTGCTTTAACACCACTATACAGTAACAGACTGAGTAGGAAAATAGCAGTAATATAGTATATTTTTTGCACAATTAGGGTCAGTGTCTGACAAAAGAAAAATACAGAATTATTTAAAATTCAGCTGTTCTCCACTAATGTAGCCTTTGACTGATTTTCCTGAGTAATAAGATCTAAAAGGCTAGTCTGCTATGTAGTAGCAGAAGCTGGTCAATTCAGTGGAGGGAAGGTATGGTACCTGGAGCCTGTGTTGTAAATATTGTGTTTCTAAGCTCTGCCGTCTGGATAATAATGGGGGATGTGCACCATTAGGGAAAGCAGATACAGCTTCCTGCTGCTGCTGAGATGATTCCTCCTGCAGAGAGAAGAGGAACAAGTTTCATCCCCAGAAAAGGCTTTCAGAATTTACCCTGACAGAGGTTTTGTAGTTGCCATATGGACTGGTCTCTGGTGTCACTCATGACTTCCTGCATGGTGAGGAGCTTTGAACTATCTGTGCCACAAAATGTCAAGGGCTTACATCTGTAACTAAAATGGTATTATATATAATGTATTTTCTGACTTGGCCTCTGAAGTAGTAAATGTACAGAGTTGGAAAACGGTCCAAACTCTGAATGTGCTTTTGTGCAGCTCTCATTGCACAGCTTCAAAATGTAAGGCAAAAAGCTTTCAACAGCTGTGGAAAGGTTACACACAGAGGAGGCATCTCTAGCAAGCTGGAGTGTGCTGACATGGGAGGGCAGTGAATTGTTGTCATGACAATACCATGAGCATTGCACCATGTTTACATCAAGCCAGAGATCCTTGTGAAAACATCACAACTTTGTGACTGTCAGAACCAAAGTCTTCCAGCAGTCAGAAGGTAACGGCTGGAGCTTTAATAGCAGGCTTCATCTGGAACATGAGGTGCTTACGGTGCCTGTGCACTTCTTGCCTGTTTTATTTCTGGGGTTTAACAGAAACATTATTCCTGTTTGCTGTGACCTGTTCCATTTGCAACAAGTAACTAGGGAGCTGGTAGAAGATATTTAGCATTTCACTAAGCAAATCAGGCTAACTGTTATCATTTGGCTTTTGCACATCTTATACCAGACTATCTCCAACAGGGGAGGGTGTTATTGGGTTTTGTTAAATCTAAAACATTGTTCAGATTAAAAGCAATAACAAAATACTAGGATTCAGAAAGCTAACAAGGCAGTCTCACTGACATCACGAGGATGGTGAAGGCTAACCTGCAAATGCCTCTATTCTGCAGCAGACAGAAAAGAGGGAACTTTATCTGTAAATTAGCTCTTCTCAGATCTCCAGAACACCTTATCCTCTCCTTATCTGTCCCAAATATTAACACCTGAAAGATGGTGCTTGATTTCTGGTTTAAGTACCTGTGGAGAACTATTAATGAGGTCTTGCAACTGGGTGGCAGTTGATGTCAGAGAAGGTTCTTCTGATCCCATGTGTTCATATAGTAACTGGACTTTGTTGAGTTCCAGGATTCCTTTGGTTCGTGCCAGATTCTGGAGGTGCTGTCTAAATGCTACAATTCCTGGAGAAGATTTGAGCAAAACCCTTGTCAGAAAATCAGTTAATTCATATCCAGTTAGCACAGCAGATATGAGACAAGCTTAGTAACAATGAAGTCACAAGGTGGCTTGTGCTTCTGTGTATGGAATATATTTACTATCGTGTCTAGATATAATGTGTCATGACTGGTTATAATTACCTTGTGTGAGGGATGTGTCGGAAGCTCTGCGCCCCTCTCGGAAACTGACAGGAGAGCGGTTGTGGGTCTCTCGCTTTTGGGAGGTGAGTGCTTGCATGGCTGGATTGGCAGGTCTCAGGCCTATGAAAGGTGTCATTCTGGACGCTTGTTGGTTGGTTAGCACCATTTCTTTCAAGGAAGGGGTGTCTTCCAGGAACTTAATATCTCTCTGAATGGATTCCATGTCATACTCTGAATCAATACTTCCCAGAGATGAGTTTTCATCCAATGAGTAGACTTTCCCTGTGACAAAACCCAAAAGCCAGAATAAAAGGAAAGTGCAGCAGGTAATTTAGCAAAGAAAAGGAAGTGCCACAGGCTCAAGCTATTCCTGCCAACAGTGACTGTCTTGGAGGAAATGAAATAAAAAAAATCAAGTTTCATAAAGTAATTGTAATTTATCATTTGCACTACCAGAATGGGGGTTTGCTGCTGGTTTTTACATTATGGCCTGCATATGTAACAATAAGACACTATGTAGATGATGATTGCTGGCTTGTTTGGCGAGTGTTCAGTGTGTGGTTCTTTCCCCCAGCACCTCCCCCCAACACCCTCCTTTCTGTAGATAATCCTCACAAGACTGTAGCCTGAACTGAAAGGCTTTGGTCATCTTGCTGGTTTTGGAATATCTGAGAACCCAGAGGTTTTTGTTTCCCAACTGTCCTCCTCTGCCAGCGCATCTTTAGGGCATGAATGATTTGGAGACACTTCGTTATGTGGAAAAGAACAAGCCAAATTGCCAGACTTGCTGTTGGGGTTGTACATGACTGTAGCCAGCTGTACATTTGCTACTTTGATTTTTATACTGTCTGTACAGCCAGTTTTGGTGTGTTTTGTTGTGTGTGGGTTTCCCCCCCCCCCCCTTTGGCCTTTATAGCAAATACTGACTAACAAAACCAAGTAACTCTTGTCATGTGCGTGTCACTCTTAAAACCTAGTGTTTTTCACTGTGGGCTTATTAGATGGAATGCCAAGAGCAGGAAATGAGCTTTGAGATGTCCACATTAACTTCTGTACCTGTGCCTGGCATCATCACCAGCTGATTGGTAACTTCTGCCAGAGTGTGACGTCGCTTCCCACAGCGAGCTGCTTGGAGGGCTGCAAATGCATGTGCAGGGTCATCTTCTGACTCTCCTTCTGTCTCTATTCCTTCATCTATAGAAGTTTCCATCATGCTGGTAGGCAGCGATTGGCATCCTTTCCTAATCACCACAGGAGGTACAGGATCTAGCAGGCAGCCATTTACCTAAATGGCACAAGAAGAGGGACAGCTTTCAATTATGTGCACAGAGCATCACCCCAAAGTGCAAGAAATCTCTGCCTATCACGTGTAGACTGAAGGCAGCCTGGATATTTAAAATGCGTGAACCTCCCTATAATATACTGAGGTAAGTAAGACTTGTTGAGAATTGTACATGACAAACAAAGCCCTCGAGGTGGGATCACCACTGACATTCTCTTAGTACTCAGCGCCTTAAATCTAAATACTCTTATTTCCACAGCACTATGTTCTCTAGGGCTGCTTTTTTTTATTATTTTTTAAGTTATTAAAAACCTCTTCCAGCTTAGTCACAAATATAAAATATTTATGAAATGTACAATATTATTGTTTCCCCTTACTATACCTACCATGCTCATTTATCATGCTCAGATAAGCACTATGAAAAGTCTTGTATTTAGTTCTGCAGCATTCTTACAGAGCTGCAGAGAGATATGTTCACGAATAATACCATAAATGCACCCTTTCCAGCAAAAGTCCATTCGATCCATGGTGTCACTCTACAAGCAAAAGTTGCCTAGAGAGGCTGTGGAATCAGTCTCCTTGGAATCACCCAGCTTGATAAAGCTCTGAGTAACCTCATCTAGCTTTGAGGTTAGACCTGCTTTTGGCAGGAGGCTGGACTAGAGGGCCTTTGGAGGTACTCTTCCAGTCTAAAATACTCCTAGGACTTCAATTCTGGTTTTATTCCCCAAATCAGTTTGTCCTGAATCCTTCTGTACCTTAACTAATTCTTTGCCATGTGCAACTACTTGTGTTTTGAGGACCATGGCCTGCATGTCACACAGTTTTGGGGTAAGTATTCTGTTCTGTAATACCTTAGAAGCTCTAATTAATGTCCTGTTACACAAGTCACTCCTGATTTGGTAGGATCAGGTTGGGTAAAATATGGATGAAACACCACACTCGTTTAGCATAAAACCTCGCACTGCTACAGGTGATTTTATGTAAAACTTTTGATGAACCATTCCTGAATTTTCTCCAAAGTTCTTTGGTATTTTGAAAACAAGTGTGTTTGGGAAAGAAGCTTCACCACATTAATAGTAGCTGTTAACAAATGCTCTTGCAAGCAGACTGTGTGGTAGTACTCTAGGCAAATACTTAGCGCAGTATCAAGAAACAGGTATAAATATTTTGAGCATCGGTACAATGGTGATGCTTGCATGGGAAAATTCTGGCCTTGCTGCCTCTATTGTAATTTAAGGGATTATATCTTTAATTTCTTGCACAGCTTACTTTCCATTTGTGACTTTCCCATTCGAATGCCTTCTACTGATCTGGCAGCAAAAGCACTGGAAAGACTATTTAGTGAACTGCTGGAAAGGAAAGAGAGAACCAATACCATGTTGGCAGCTGGTTCTCTGCAGTTTACCATGGGCACATGGATCAGAACTTGGAAGTCTTCAGTGGACATGGTCTATAATACTTAAGACACTTGTCAGTTGTGACTTGACACCTCACTGTAGTCACCACTTGTTGACCTACTCTGGCCAAACTGCATCTACTATAAAAGCAAAGGGGGATGCAAAATAAAGTTTGAACTGCTTTTTGCTCTAAGAGACCACAAGAGATGTTACTTAAAACAGTGATGAGAACCAGGGCCACAGTCTTAGTGTTGGTAACTAACCTGTAAGTAAGCAATAGAAGCTTCAAAATGGCAAACATGAAATCAAACCCCTAGCTGGCACCAGGCAAAATACAATATGCTGAAATTAAAGTTATAATGCAATGTTGATATGAGAGAGACAACAAAAGTTTCATGACAATGATATACTTTGTAAATGTAATTCTTTTAAGCTATTTCCTCTTCCTCACAAAAGCTCTAACTGCTAACTCCTGTGTATTTTCTCTTATTCTTTGCTACCCTGCAGAGTATTGTTGCAGACCTCAACATTGCATGGCAAAATGGAGCAAACTATAGCTCCTTTCACGGACTTAAGCTGTAACTATACTTTTTTAAGGCTATGGAGCTGTCACACCCCCTATTAGTTGAGTTCAGTTAACTGTGGAGGTGTGGAAAGCCTGCAGAGAGTCTTCCAGCCTGATTACAGGAAACAAAAGCCATTAGATAGATAGACCTGCAATTTTACATGGGCTCCAGTGAAGATTTTACAAGATTCCTAGTTACAGAAATGGCCTAGCTGAGAACTGCTCCAACCTATTTGAGATGCTGCAGTTCTAAAAGTTTTTGACAGTGCGAATGTCCTGCTTGCTATCTATCATTCAACAAAAAAATAACCAAAATGTAACTCTTTTGGCTAGCTTACTATGAAATTGGCAGAGATGCAGAATTTTAATTGTGTGGCATTTTAACAGCTTTAGCTGGCAACAAAAGCTTATGGCTAAGGTTCTTCCTGTTCTTAGTTGTCTAAATTTTTGGATGAGTAGCTGAGTAGGTTACTCTAGATACTCAGCCATGAATACTTTGTATTAGAAGCTACATGTGAGGAATCTTCAGGGCTCTTGAAAATATATTTGAGAGGAAGAACCCCCCCCATTTTTGTAGGTTAATTTTTCTTTTATAAATCTTTTATAAATGACAGCATGGTAAGATTGGAATGTAAGCAAGGAACATGAGGCAGATTAGTGATCAAAAAAGACACAGCTGTTAAAAGTTATATGCAAGACAGAAGTAGAAAAAGACTCCGGAATACCTTGAATTCTGATGCTCAGCGAATACTTAAATTTAGTGAAACAGGCACAATATGTCTTTTCCAGCTAGTACAAGAAATGTACAAATCAAGTGTTTAGACACTAAAAGTCAGTCTTAGTACATTTGACTTGCTGTCTATCCTGAGAGGTTACCCAGGCATGAGAACTTGCTGGAGACCAGAGTTTTGGGGACAGCATATGCTTAAGAGCAGGTTTAGAACATTGTGTCTTTGAAGAAAAGGCTACTGAAAGCGGAGAAGGGTTCTCCAGCTGAGCTACCTGCAAGTGTCAAGACACAGGAGGCATACTAAGGTCAATGAAGTGACATTAGTTTGGATTAGCAAATACTCTGGCCTTGACACCACAGTGCTTTGCTTTGTGCTAGAATTATTAATTATTCAATTAAATTATTGAAGAGATGCAGCTACTACCACTAGCTGTGCTTTTACTAGGCAGCAATTTAAAAGGCAACAATCTTTTTTAGCCTTAATGATTTTTGACAAAACAGTAGGGTGATTTTTAAGCTGTACCTTTGGTGTCTCAACTCTTTCTTCCTCCATAAATGCTGTCCCTCCCTGGCAGCTGGATGGAGGGAATGAAAAGGCTTCTGCTCCTGAAGCTGAGGGAAAACCTGGAGACTGCAATAACCTTGCATTTTGTGAATGCAAGTTAACTGAGGGTACCACAGCTTGTGCCTAAAAAAGATTTTAAGAACTCCAAAACCAGAACAATTTTAGGTAGAAAACAACATACAAGGTCACAAATTAAAAATAAATGATACCTAGCCCATTTCCAAAGCAGGAGAAGTATAAGATTTATTTCCTCATTCTTGATGAATTACTCTTAGTCTTTAGACTTTAAAAAAAGCACCTCCACCCCCAAAACACATAAATGAACATGAAACCCCAAACAAAGCCCAAACGTCATTAAGCTAGCTACTTATTGAAGCTGAGCACTTACTTACTTACTAGCAGTAAAGACAGTGTTTGGGACCCTTTGGTGCCCACCAACTTCTGACATGCTAGAATTCCTTTTTATATTCAGTACCAAACCCCTTAATATTACCATGGGGCATAGGGCTAGTTTTAATGACTTTTCTAACATGCGCTGATTGCTGCAGGAAAAAGTGCAGGAAAGGATAGAGCAGGCTGGATCTGAAATAAGATATTTTAACAGAGCACTGTGGAAGGGAGAGTTGTGCCTCAGGGAAGGCAAGAATGGCACAATTAAGAAAACAGTGGTTTTCACTGTTTCTTAAGCTTAATTTCCTGAAGCGCAGGATCCACACAACTTGTCTGTCCAAAAGGAAACAAGCAGCCTTATACAGGAGCTTGTGGTGCCACCATGTGTGAAAACAAATTATCTTGTTACTTAGAGTAACTGCAAGATTGCTTGCAGTCCTGAGGAAAAAGTGGTAATTTAGTACAATAAGGAACTACCTTCCAGGAGGTTTTTTCTTCCTCCTTGTTCATCTGCCTCTACCTGCTTTTAGTACATTTTATAATTAGTATTATAATTTAATAATCTGCTTTTGAATACTGTGTCTTTCTATCACTAGAAGTACTATCAAAGAAAATAGCTGGTTTTAATCTTTGTCAGCCATATTGTTCCTGGACATACGTTTTCATAGCTGAAGCTATTTGGCTTGTATTTCAACAGAATCCAAAACCAAATAGTGTCTTGCTGCCTCAAGCGAAAAAGGAGCAGCATGGTTATGATTTGTCCTGGAAGTGGAGTCTGGGCATTGTTTTACACAGCATCAATACATTACCTAGGAGGCTGTGAACTTGAGAGAATAATATACTTGAGACCACAATAAATGAGAGTTATCTTAGGGCCAAGTCTCTTATGTTTCCAGTTATGCATTAATAGAAATCAAAAGCTGTACAATGTCTGTTGATCTTAATGAAACAAAAGAACATGTAAAAAAATCTAAGGATTATTGGAATAAGATAGAATAAACTGTACATGACCTTTCTTTCTGAAGAAAATGACTAGGGAAGAAGCAGACTGAATAGCCTTTGAGCCAGTGCTGAATCAGTCAGTGTAATTACAGAAGAGAAGATACTAAGCGGACAGCCTTCCTGCTGGCACCAGATGTAAGGAGCACCCAGAACTGCTCTTGATAAAATACATGTGACATCCTTAAGACTTAAACCAATTGGTCAGTCATCACCTTGGGTCTATACACATAGACCATTTTGCTGTGCTGCAACGTCTCCCATGAAATTGGACTATTACTGGGTCACAGGACCAAGTGGTGCAAACCTTGAAGGAAATTACATTATTTAGGAACAATTCTCTCAGTCTTGAGCCACTAAGAGTCTCACAGCAATGATATTTTTATCAGGTCCTTAAGATATCACAATGAATTGGCATCTTAACCTGATAGGTTGATTCTAATATTTTCTTTTGGGTACCTCTCTGCTATTCTCTGCCATGCTTCATTTCATGGGAGACTGAAAGCGTATCTAGAGAACAGCAGGGGAGAAAGTAATTTTATTTTCAACAGGTCCCTTTAGAGTGACTGTTTTTAATAACACTAAGTAGAGCCTACATGCTTTTACCCCCCATGCTAGCACAGCTCTCCATAAATTCAACAGCTCATTTGTCAATCACATTAAAGATACTCCAAGTGTTGCACAGTCTGCAGAGATGTTATTTCTCTAACATTTTAACCCATGACTTCCCAGCAAAAGGTTTGAAATTCTAAAAAAATGGAAGTGTTCCAATTAGAAGCACAAGCACAATATTTTCCCTTTAACTGGGAAATAAACTGGGAGTTAAGGTTAAACCACACAGATACCCATTAAAGTCAAAACCATTGTGTTTGCATTTTGGGCTTCAGAATGCAGTCACGTTCCATTTCTCATTTAAAACTTATCCAGTCCCCTCCAAACTCGTGTGTCTTTTATTTGTCTTTTTTTTTTTTTTTTGAGGGGTGGGGAAGAGGCAGCAGGAGCAGTTGTAGGAGGCATACCAGACAACTGATTTGTCATCATACAGTTCTGACAGAAGGCAAATCCAAAAAAATCTTTCCAAAATGATGCCGCAAGTCTACATGCTACAGAAATCAGAAAACCGCAATGGATTCTAAGTGAATTTACAGAGAAACACCATTTTGAAAGAGAAGAATGTCTTGTACAGACTTAAGCCCACCTCTGCTAGGAGTGAAATCTTACCTTGACTACTGTCTGCTCAGCGATGGTGCTTGGCCGACGCTGACGAGCATCAAGTCTCTGTTCCACAGGGAAGCTACTCCGATGCGATTTGAGTCTTTCCACCAACAAGTAATAGATAGCAGCAAAGTGGTTATAACTCTTGTTCTGCAGAGACTGAAAAAGAGAAGCACAAAATTATGGGTGCAGCCAAATATGCATTATCTTTTATGTTCTACAAGACCAGGAAGAATAAAGAATTGACATCTGGAGCAGGGGGTGAGATATTTAAGAGCCAGTGGGGTAGGCAAACGCTGTTCTGAATTCAGAAGGTTTCAAACCAGACTGCCAGGCAAAGAAAAGCATCAACCTTAGTTTAGTGGCAAACTCACAAGAGCTTGCTATGTTCTAGGCTGCAGCAGTACTTGTAGCCAATATTCAGGTGCTACTCTGAACCCTCAAGAAGTTGAACCTGGAGAAGGGACTGAGCTCCAGGACTTCCTGAATATATTATCTGTTCCAAGTGACTAGAAGCAACAGAGAACTGCACCTCTGCAAAGTATAGAAACTTAGCCTCTTGTAGCAGAAAGTACTCAAACTGCTGACCTCCACAATAGTGTAAAGCATCAGCCATCCTAAAGGAAATGATTGTTACCTACATAGGGAATCTTAGCATGTATGTTTGGTAAGAAGCATGATTTGGGATTGGACAGAGACATTCAACTGCTAACTGCTTTATATTCCTTTTTGATTTTCATTTTCCACCCTCTTCAAAGTTCAAAATGGATTTACTTTCAATTCCGATTTCCCCTCCTCTCTTCTCCATTTGAGAAGTAATGATTTATCCATCCCCACCCAGGAAATCTAACAGTGTGGAACCTAATATGGCTCCTTTATTTTAATTCTGTGCTTAAGAATCAACTTAGCTAAAAAGCAACTCTCTAAAAATGACCAGTTGTAAGCAGCAGCAAGTATCACCGTTGCAACAGGCAGCCCTATTGGGCTACCATTTTTTACACAGTGCATGTTATATTTCTGTCTGTCTTCTAGCTTAAAGCAACAGCAGTATCAAATTTTTTGAAATGTGTGTTTGCTTAAATTAAATAATTAATACACTGAAATAATAATACTGAGTCCTGGGATATGTGACCAGAACGCATTATTCTTTTCCACGGGCTCTAATTTGGATTCCTGACACAGAAGAGTATCCTTTCTCTTGGTGCTGCCTTTTCACTGACAGGTTGCCCTCTATGGGCAAAGGATGCCTTGAACTAGAATAGCTGGGTATGGCCAGCCAGCATAAGGCACGCAGGTGAGGTTGCCTATGGGCCTACGTCACTACGTTTTGCCTGCAGTTTGCATAACACAGACACCTTATCTCCACTAGTGATTATCTTTAGGAAACTTTCTGGAGGGATGTCTCTCCTCTCCTCCTCCTGATCAGTCTGCTGGCACAGTCTGAGACATCAGTAGGACAGAGAGGCAGCAGCACAGCATGTTTAAAATGCCCTTGCTAGGGTCTGACCAGGTAGATTATACCACCAGTTTTGTTGCTTCCCCCTGCCCCCTGTTGAAAAAAAGAATGTTGCAAGCAACTCAAGTAATAAGTTTTAGTTATAAAAACAAAACAGGAGACCTTCCCCCCAGGGACAAATATCTGAGTCTGTTTTACCTCAATAGTTTTCTGTTGGTCTATTCCAAGGCTGTGCATTAGCCGTAAAACCTGCTCATTATACTCTCCAATGGAAGGCTCATTCTCTCCTGGTGGATAAAGAATGGGTCTCTGTGCAGGAACTTCTATAAGCATCCACTTGTGCTCCTTAATCTGAGCAAGAGTTAACCGTTTGGATGGGTCTAGAACCAACATTCTTCTAATCAGATGTTCACACTCTGTCGGGGGGGAAAAAAAATACCAACCTGCTATATGTGGTACTTCCATATATTCACCTACCAACAGAGAGCATGACAACAGGAAATTGCCTCACTTCTAACTTCTCTGCTAAAAACACTTCCTGAAGGCTAAAACAATCCTCAAAACAAGATTAAAAGTCACATTAAGAAGGATAAACCCCCAAATTCTTTAAATGCACGGTATGGCTAACAGTGCCATTACTTCTACACAGCTCCCACATGAGGATAATGGTAGTATTTAATACCTCTTAGAAGCTACTTGTACTCTTTTAAGTACAGTGCTAATCAGTTAATGTTTGTTAAGCTTTAATCAACCTCTGTGAAGTGTGGTGGGGAGTTAATCAGCATCCTTCTCCATCACAATTTGAAATAGCTTGCTTAGGCTCATAAAACAAGGGATTGGCAAAACTAGGGTTAGTGTCTGGAGGGTTTTTTTTTAATTTATTTCCACCCTAGTGGTCACAAAAACAAAAGGTAAAAATAATGCCTGTGTGGCTGTGAATGGTAGCCAGTGGGTCTGCAGGTTTATCTATTTTAATTCCAGGACCAAAGCACAACCAGTAGCTTTAGGTGTCAGAATAATTCTGAACACACCAAACCATTGCTGCTTTCTGACTACTACATGCTGGACAGCATTAAAACCATCACATTTTTCTTCAGATCTCAGTTGGGTTTTGGAAGATGAGGTCATGAGAGATGAACATGCCGTTTCTATGTGAGAGGAAATCAATGTAAGTTCCTTTAAGGGAGCTTATCAATCTGCCACGCATTTCTAGCTGACCATGATACGGCTACAGTACAGTTGTTTTGAGTCAGTCCATTCAGGTAGTTCTGAAAAATAGTTTAGAGAGAGATTTCTGGCTATTTATTCCTGTTTATCTTGTTATCACTGTTTTGCAAAGAGGCATACCCCCTCCCCACTCTCCACATCATCATGTGAACTGCAAGGGGAGCAGCAAACTGTGTGCAAAGCAGCCGATCTACACTGCAGTCACAGCAATGACTGCAACTCACACAAAGGTACCTGGATCTAGCTCGCATACCCATGCCAGCAAAATCACAGAAACACAATAGAGTTCAGCGCTGGCTGCAAAATGTGCTCAGGAAGCTGAGGGGTTGCCATGGTGCCATGATGGCATTGCTAAAAGCAACCAAGTGCACTATAGCTACACTGTAGTGGTTATTTTCAGAGACGGGTGCACAGGAGTACATGCCACCAGAAGGAAAAAGAGGATAAGACCAGAATGTTTTACACCACAGAACCCTTAACAACAGGGCTGTAAAAACATATTTTTAACTCCCTTTAAAAAAAAAAAAAAAAAAAAGCACAAAGTGGCATATCGAAAGAGGATTTGATTCAGGAAGGTTGTTTTGAAGTAATCTGGTTTACAGACCCTTTAATACAGGGAAGCTGAAGGACACCAATCAAATCCTGTGTAAAAATGGCCTTACTTGTTCTTGTCTGAACAAGCATGAGGGAGAGTGAAACCCAACAGGTGGGTCAATTAAGTGAGGGAGAGAGATCTCAGTCACATGTGGGAGTGCCATATACATGACAGTGAGAACCTGGCATATGAACTGGTTGTGCACTTCTTTGCTTTTGTTTAGCAGACACGGTCAGAAACCAGGAAGCACCCAATCCACAACTTTGGTTTGACAGCGATATTGCTCTCAGCCTATTTACTTACCACATTAAAATGTATATGGCCTTGCAGGACAAAAGCTAATTGCTACACAAACGTGCCTCTGCCCCTGCATTCCTGTTTCTGTTCACAGCAGGATGAGACATCCTCCAGCTTCCATTTTGACTGCCTGCCTATGGGCACAGCCACACTGCAATCTCCATGCATTGCACAGGGAAAAATGGGTTGGTTTGCCTAGCAGCAGTCTAACTGCAAAGGCATACAGCTCACCTAGGCTTATTTGTGCTTCTTTGCAAAATGAATAGTCTGCCATACCATAATCTAGTCTGCAGATGTTACAGTACAGCAAAGCACCACCCTTTGTTGTGTTGTAACAGAGATTATCCTAGAATTTACTCAAGGTTTACCATACCAAGAGTGTAAAAGGACACATTGTTACCTTCTGACATAAAATAAGGGATCCTGAACCTTCCTTCAAGAACTCGTTGCCTCAGTATGGGGAGTGTTGGTCCATCAAAAGGTAGTGCTCCACAGACCAAAACATAAAGAACTACACCCATGCTCTGTAAGAAAGAAAATATTCATTTAATTTTTCAAGATACAAGCAAAGTCTCTGAGGTTGGCTAGCCAAATCCTGTGACAGAAAAAAATTACATTCTGCAGAAACAGGAAATTTATACAAAAAGGAGTTAGATTTCTGAAGATCCCTAAACATTAAGAACACTCAGCTAACCCAAAATGGCTAGGCTTGCAGTACCTTGTGCTGATAAGCAGGTAAGCTGAAGTGTAATGGGTTAGAGACTCTGGCTGCTAGCAGGAAGCTCCACGCAGATGCCTGAATGATACCTGAAAAGTGAGCCCCAACTTCAGGTGAGAATTAGAGATACGTTTATTAATCTCAATGTTGTTCACACAAAAACAAACCTCTAACAGCAGCCGCTCAAAATAAGAAACTGTAACCTTTTACATTGACCAATTTGCAAAAGCCTGGGTAAGAGGCATGCTGGTAACTTCATGAACAGTCAGCTTCACAGGAATATCAACTAATAATTTTACACTGCTATGTGCAGTGCTGAGCATGGGGGATTATTTAATACGAGCAAAAGGAGACAATCTGGGCAAGAGGTCTCCTCCAACTGCCAGACTCATTTTTGAAAGTATGCCAGTTAACTGGTGCTGCAAAGTGGAAACAGTCTTGCAGTATATGCCATAAAAAATGCAGCGCCACACTAGATGAAATAACCACACCAGGCTCTCACGCCAATCAGCTGGCATAGATAGCCACAGCACTGGATTTATCAAGGGGAAAAAGCAGGCATTCAGCATTCACCTTAAAACTTTTTAAGTACACAGATTTTAAAATTAAATACATATTTTTAAAAGTCACTTCCTTCCTTCCTTAACCTGCCAAAAACTGAACTGTGGATTGTTGCATTCCTTCTGCAAGTGTAGCACTTTCAGCAGAACGTATTCTGTGATTGGATGGTGCAAAAGAATACAGAATCTTTAACTCATTTCAGAAGATAGGTGAAGATGATGATGTTTTTATCTTAAATATAAACACATGGGTGCTTCTCTGTGGGCAGGCAGATTCTGTTGACAACTGAGGATCTTACGTATTTAAAGAATATTTACCAAAGTTAAGAGATTCACTTCTGACATTAAAACAGTGCCTGTGCTACTTGAAACAGTAAGTGTAGCTGAGGTCTGCCATATGTTTATTTGCCAGTTACTAAAGGTTCAGAAAGTCTGTAGCCTTTTTTTAAAAATAAATCTACCTAGCTACATATATATGTGTATGTATATAGACAGATATATGCATACACACAAATATATGTATCTAAATGCACAGTTTTTATTTGTTATGCCATTAGCTTACTTTAGATTAGCAGCTGCAAGGCAACTTTCCATGAACTGCCCTGTTTGTGTAACAGGCTCTGACCAAAATGTCAGTGCCTGTGTTGTTATGCTATGTGCAATATTATCACTGCAAACTTGATGCCAGAGAAAAAGACTGCCAAACTGTACTGTCTCTGGTTGCTTTAGGATATGAATCAGTCATTGTAAGTATCAGAATACTAAAATTAAAAAAACAAAGCAAAAAAACCAACAAAACAACCCACACCCAAAACAAAACAAAAGAAAAACCAAACAAAAAACCAAATTAGGTTTAAAATTAAAATTTTAAATTTTAATTTAAATTAAATTTTTAATTTAAATTTTAAATTAAATTTAAAAAACCAAACAAAACCAAATTAGGATAGAAAAGTAGTCTCTGACAATGCGTGAAGGGTGCACAGAACTTCTCAGTTTATTTTAGTCCCTTTTCCACTGCACAACAATGTGGGTTGCACTCTCTATCCTCTTCCATTAGAGTAGTACACTCCACTACTGGAGAGACAGTTTTGAATTGGTGGAGATAACACCAATTCAAAAACATGCAGTTGCCTGCAGCAGAAATGTTTGTGGCACAAATGTGCTTGTTTCCAGCTCAAACAGCAAAGCAGTCATCATCTCTCCTGTACTTCAGTGGCTCAGAATACCTTTAACCTCATCAAGAACTTACAGCCTTACAAGTTCAATTCTCACTTAACACAGAAGATACTAAATGCGCTAAAAAAAGCAAAGATCATGCACTCAGCCAGGACAGCTTTTTGGAGGAGCTACAGTTTTTCCTCTAGTGGGCTAACATACACCTACAGTGTACATTTAATAGCCACCTGGGTATGTAACTTGAATTCCATTCAACGTTAAAAGACATTTTATGACACTCAAGAAATAAAGCTGAAGAGGAACAGCTTGTCTGCAGCTTAAGAAAAATCAAAGATGATTCCTTTGTTCCAGCTTTCTAAAAGTTGACTTGAATCCAGTTAAAAAAAGAATAATGATACCCAGATATCCAGCTGAGGTCCCTCGTATTGCTGTCCTTCAAAGACTTCTGGGGCTGCATACGGTGGGCTTCCACACCATGTTGTCAGAGGCTCACCACTCTTATAGAAATTTCCAAATCCAAAATCTGTTGAGAAATTAAGGAGAAAGTCACTCCAAAGTCCAGCTGCATGACAAAGAATAATTATATGCATGGACTAGGCCTGAAAGCTCACTTTCATTCATGAAAGGCTCTATCACAAATCCTTTTATTAGTACTCCCACTGAAAATGTTTATTGGGATGGTGAATGTCCTATACTGCTATTTTCATGACAGCTATGTAATTAATAACGCACTCTGCCAAACTGTCACAACCTGTAGGAGTTTTGAGCAAACTTCTGCCAGTTTGCTAAATCCTAGTTTATAAACAGCTATCACTAGAATTCAGCAAACTGACAATCATGCATACATATGAGCTTATTTACTTGCCAAGAGATATCTGAGATTCAGTACTGGATCCGAGATTTCCTGAGTTTTCTTTAGGTGCTCTCTAGCCTTGAATACACTACAAATTTTGACAACAAAAGCATCAACTTTGGAGATGGGAGGAACTCTGCCAAAAGCAACAAGCGCAGGAAAACACAAAGCCTTTTGTTAGGAAGGAAACTCTGCTACTGGGATTGTCTTAGAGCCCTTTCAGTCTACAACTGAAATTTACCCGTCCACAACTAAGCAGGTTCTTTTCAGTGTTTCTTTTTATTGCTTAATATGCGACCAGACATGGGTCCCACAGGACTTCAGTATTAGTCACCATTTGTAATAATCCAATAATGCAAAGCAAAATGACAGCCACTATCAGTCAGATTGAGTATGATGCAATTTTTTTTAGTTTCCCCTGTTGCTGCTCTCCCAGGTTGCATACTTTTTTTTTTACTACACAAGCAGCAAACAACATTAATATTAGAGGAAACTGGCTTCATGACTGAAGTGGATTATTTTCAAAATGCAGCATATTTTGGATGGCTGCTACCACTCCGTGATGCTTTGCCTTCCACTCTTACCAATGTCTTTGGAGCTCTTCACAGCCCAGATCCTCCAGTTCCTCTTCTATACTGCCATCCCTCTCACTCCCTTTGCTTAGTTCATACATTATTCGCTTTGGCATTCTTTATTCTTCCTGCCAGAATCCTAACAGTCCCTCCTACAACCACTGCAGATACCCATTCTGAATACATTTCTTCCATGACATTCCTCAGTATTAATAGGCAAGGCTTTTATTCATCATGCTTTTAATAAAAGCCATTGGAGCAAAGTATTTGGATACACCTGTTCACGTCATGAACCAAAATACTTGCTCCACTGAAGTCTAGTGGAGTTTTCTCATGGAATTCAATGAAGCTAACATTTCCCCATGTTGCTCCCAGCATTACCACGCTGTACTGCTTAGTCCTGTAGTCCTTTTGCATTGCAGGCCATCCTGTATGTTCTCTGTGACAACAATGCTGTTAATACTAAAGCCAAGAAGAAGTTCTCAAGGAGAGAGATTTGGTAATGGGAACAAATATTCTTTGGATTTAAGGGTTTTAAGCAAATTGTCTTCATTTCACTAACTGGTCAGCTGTATCTCTGAAGGAAATACAGAACGGAGCATTGGCAAGTGACATGCAAGGACTGTCAAGCACAGCAATATTTTTTATGTTTGTCACTGGTCTACTCCTGTGTGAACAATGATTTCACTGTTCCCTGCCATTTTTTCCACACTGGAGCAAACTACGCAATAGAAGGTTACAGAAGGTGTTTCTTTTCTTAAGGTGATAATGCTTTTACCCTTGTCGCTAACCAGGCTCCTGCAGAGTAATACTGCATTGCTGGTGTGACTCAAGGAATCCCGTGAAAGTCAACAGTGTTGATAAACAGTAATCAAGCTGTTGATTTAGTACTATCAAATGCTGAACACCTCAGACAAATATGTTAATACAATGCAGCACTGATCAGCAGATAGCAAAACTGATAAACACTGTGGTTAGTAGACACCATACAGTCACTGCTGGTAGCACTTCATTTACTTCTATTTATATAGGTTGTGTTACTCAGAGGAAAGAGCCTGGCTCTCTCGTCACACATCATGAGCTATAAAACCACAAGAGAACCCTCAGAATCAAAGCAATATAGAGATATTAAATGTACCAGGCTTAGATAAAGTTAACCTGGGGTTGTTTTAGAGAAACAGTATGGCAATTGAATCAGACTACTTACAGTGAGCCTAACAGTAAAGGCACTTGGTTGCTTTCCTAATAGAAGGACACAAGAGCTCCAGCAGTTCTTTTAACAGAACTCTTCCTGCAACATATCTAAAAATTGAACATAGGCAGAAGAAGCTATTTCAGGAACACCAGAACTGAAGAGGCTTTTACAGCATTTTTTTCTTCCATCTTCCAAGATTTTCCCTGGCATGTAGTAAGGTACAGAATCATAGAATAGTTTGGGTTGGAAGGGACCTGTAAAGGTCATCTAATCCAACACCTCTGCAATGAGGAGGGACATCCTCAAGTAGAGCAGGTTGCTCAGAGCCCTGTCCAAACTGACCTTGAATGTTTCCAGGAATGGGGCATCTACCACCTCATTGGTCAACCTGTTCCCATGTTTCAACATCCTCGTTGTGAAAAATTTATTCCTTATATCTAGTCTAAATCTACCTTCTTGTTTAGTTTAACACCATTACCCTTTGTCCTGTTGCAACAGGCCCTGCTAAAAAGTTTGTCCCCTTCTTTCTTATAAGCCCCCTTTAAGTTTGAAAGGCCACAATAAGGTCTCCCTGCAGCCTTCTCTTCTCCCAGCTGAACAACCCCAACTCTCTCAGCCTGCCCTCACAGGAGAGGTGTTCCATCCCTCTCATCATTTTTATGGCTCTTTCTGCAATTGTTTCCACAGGTAAAACCTACCACCCACTGCTTTAACACCTACACATGAACCTGGAGGATTGTTTTTGCCTTCTGAACTTCATGCTCTCTGTCAAATTTGGTTACGGGCAAGCAACAGGTTCAAAAGTTATCTGGGAAACATACACAAACAGCATGATCTCGGAGGCCTTTCGGCTGTTTTCATCAACTCTTTTAATCACAAGGTCACTAAAGATTTCAGCAAGAAGTCTACAAGACTTAGAAAGAGACTTCAAGTCTTTGTGTACCACTGGTTAATTCTTATTACAAAGACTACCTCTTTAATACCTTCCTCACCCGTGTTTCCTTACTGCACTGCATTGCTGACTCGCCATTGTGTTAAACAATACCACTAATGTAAGCAGATATTTTTAGTTGTCTTTAATGAAGTGCACTAACAGAGAATCAAGACTATGCAACCATCCAGCTCTCAGTATGGAAATCTCTACAGTGGGTAACATGCACTGTAAGGTAATAGCAACCGTCACTATTCTATTTAGCAGCAATATTACTGGGGGGCATTCATAATATAAACTGGCCATTTTTACACACCTTGTGTTGGTGGTCCATTTGATTCAGGTAAGCAACTGGTAAATGTAGATCAGCCACAGTTATACACACACAATCAATGTCATTCTGCCCTAATTTTATCCTTCCTTTTTCTAAAGGTCACTTGTGGTAATCTTCCACAAGTGTTCTTCCACAAAAAATGCATTAAGCAGCTCTTTGTATTTAGGAATTTCAAAGTATTGATTATGGAATTTGTCTCTCTTATCAGTGGTCTTAGGGTGTGAAACAGCATACCAGTTTTACAGGTGAGGACATGGGAACAGAAAAGTTAATAGACTAGCCCAAATTCAAGTAACAAATCAGTGACTGACCCAGGCCAGGGCCAAGCATAACTGAAGTGCCTGGTCATTCTCTAAACAGCAAATAGAAATCAGTCACTCACTGCTGAAAATTTTTGCCTCAACATTTCCACAGCCTGAAATTAGACCCTGTAATTCTGCTGGAAACTTTCTGCCACCTTTAATGTACATAACATGCTCTGGACATATTTCAGTCTGGTGACCCAAATGCATGAGGGTATAACGGGAAGCGCTAAGTCTCATTTCCTTTTGTAAACATTGCCATTAAGTGTTTTTCCCTCAGTTGTAACAATACAAGCCAATAGTCTGCACATACTTCATCACTGTCTCAACAACTGATCAGAAATTGCCTTTTCTTCTAAATAAACTAGTTGTTCTGTGAAATCTTATTACAGATATTTCTGAATTTGCTATCATAAGAGATTAAGTCTAAAAATAAGCAGGATACTCCTATCAGGGTAGTCCACGATTAGATGATAAAGATACTGGCTTAATTATCATCATCAGCAAGGTCATGTTGAAAACATAGGAAAATAGGCTGTATCTACTTTCAACTACCTGACCATACACTTGAAACTTCTAGGTCTAACCTAAAGCTGCCAAAAGACTGCTCTTTATCTGTCTAGACACCTTAAAGAAACTAGGCCAGGGTGTGCGCCCATTACAGATAATTCCATACTGGGCCATCAAAAACTTTTCCCAGGTTGCCCTAACCCATCAATTATCCACCCAGGAAAACCTCTTAATTTGGATCTGCAGGTACTCTAAAAACTCGGTCTTGCTTCACAAACAAGACGAGCAGTCCAGTAGCTCTGCTGCAACGACAAGAGCTAAATCTCTCTGGTGCCACTAACTCCCAAGCCATTCTCGTAATTCCTCTTGCAGACAAAAAGTATCCGATCTTTATCTGTCCTGGAAGCGATCCCAAAGTACCTCAGTGCAGCTACACAGGATGTACTCCCAGAGACAACTGACAATTGTACGAACACTAACTGCACCATTTTCTGCAGGAACCCTGCCTAACCATGGGCATAATTTTGGGACACCCACTTACTATACGCAGCAGAGAGAGTATGGAATAGAATATTCCTGCTCTTTTCTGGATGGTTAAAAGTGCCTCTGGGATGGGATTTGCAAGGTCATTATAAAGGGCTAACAATAATAGCAAATTTTGAAGTCAGTAGAAACTTGTCATGCCAATTTCTCTACAACAAAAATTCTGTAAAGATTCATGTGCTTAACACTCCATGAATAAGATCTGCTTACAGTAATTCAATCCATGGAGCTCTTCAGTGTCACCTGCAGTTGTAGGATTAATCCTTTTCACTTCTCATCTCAA